GTGACGTTAGACCTCAAAGAGCTGTTAGATTTCCTCAAAATATACGTTTCTTATCTTACTAAGAAGTGTTTGCTTGTACCAGTAATTTCAGTTAAGATTGTAGTATTCGGTTAGGTAGAAAACGTGTTTCGTTGCTTCTCACTTTTCCCACTAGTCTAACCGTGGTCTTAACGAAAAGGTAATTTTGCATTTGCATTTACTGTTTATTGTTCCAACTTAGCGCGCAAAGGTGTGTCAACGTTTCAACTTGCTGTTGTTCCAACAGCGACTACATGTTACTCTCATTATGAAAAGAATACGCGCTTATAGGTGTGAACTATGATATATATTTGGATATTCACTAACTAAAAGATAGTTTTGAAAATAAAGACAAGCTGAGAAAATGTTCAAAGTTATTGTTTATTCAACAATTTTAGTAGCTTCTTGTCGCCGGTGGTAACCAACCAAGGGGAATTTTTTAGACTGCGCCTTATTCGAGATACGCAAATGTACAGTTGCTACTTGGAAAATTCTAGAAATTGATATCATCGTTATAAATCCACTTACTACCGAGACGTATTGATATATGATATTATGAATTTGCTACCGCAGACTCGTGAGTCCATTCTGTCTCGGCATAAATTAAAATGTTCAGTCAACTTTAGAATGTACTTGGGAAGGACCTGATAAAGCGGCCGAAACGTCGCGATTAAAGTAAACATAATTTTTGCCAGTTCGGTCGATGTTTTAAAAAATTCCTCTTGGTTAACGTTTATTGTCTAACAAGCGAAGAAACTTGAAAATCACGACAAAACGATTACACGGGAATTTCGTAAGGATCTCGTAATGATTTCGGTGACACTGTCCCACGATTACATCAAGTGGTTACCCCTTTGAGCAATTCGCGCGGCAGACAATCGGGGGAGGGAACGCGCGAAGTGGGCTAAGGTCAATTCGCGAACTATTTGGCGTTCGTCCAGGAGGGGAGAGAAAGAAACCCGGGGCGGGCGGGGGCGCGGACGTCGCCTTTCGTTTCATCGTTTGCCTTCCGTGTCCCGCGATCACACGCGAGGCGCGATCGCGATACGGATAAGAGCGGCTGGGCGGTCATTAAGGCGGATCTCCCTCTGGCCGGAGGATCGAAGCCGCCCACCATCCGTTTCCAGCTTCGTTACTCCGGCCCGGAATTTCCGCGGCGGCTGTGACCAGATCCCATCACTCTCGCGGCTGTTCCAGCGAGGATCCTTGATCGGCGCTTAAACGCGGGACTGTCGCGCCGAGCGTGGCTCCCCTCGACTGTTTGGCATAGTTCCCAACCGTAAGCTCGCACTCGGGGCCAATACTGTCGGCTGATGTTAACAGTTACGCATTCGTTTCCCATCAATGTCTCCGCCGTTCAAAAGGAACCTTGTACTCTTAAATCGCTTCGTCGCTACTTTATTGTCGTTGCTTTCATTGAACGCACGTCTGCCCAGCGAGTCTCGTACGTCTCCTATCGCCCCAAGAATTTTCATCGTACACAATGCTGCGCTGCGTGATTGAACAAGACTATCCTCGTAGTTGAATCGCGCACCTTTCAACTTCACGTTGCTGTTTGTTGAGAATTTTACATCAAGGCCCGATTTCACCAAACGTCGTTTAACTTGAATCGCAGTTTAATTCACGTTTGTCTCTCTCTAAAGTAACAGTTGGAAAGAGACAAGGAATGAATTGAGCTAAGATCACAGTTAAACAACGTCGGTGAAGCAACGGGCCTGAGTGGCATTTCTTATCAAACAGAGCGCCGTCAGGTCTGAGCAAGATGTTGGCGGTCCAAGAATTGTAATCTAAAATGTGAATATTGGGCTACCGGCATGTCCTGCTTGGACCTAATGGTCCTAGTTAATTTTATTTGGCAATTTTTTATTTCCCGCGAAATGTTTTGTAATTTCCAGAATTGAGTGAGTCTTCTTGTCGCCAGTGGTAATTAAACGAAGGGGAAATTTTTTTAACAAGTCGACCAGACCGGCGAAAAACGTGATCTTTAAGTCGCAACGTTTCGACCCCTTTGTCGGGTCCTCTTCAAGTACAAGCTGGAAACAATTTTGTAATTTCCATAGCGCCGCTGAAGAGTCGGGCATTCAATGGTCACCGTTGGCGGTCCACGTGACAAGAAGACGACGTTTTCGGATCTAGGCGAGCTGAATAAGTAATTTTCTATTAGATATCCCGTTCGCGCATACACATATACGTACACCGCGCGCATAACGGATCACTGTATATTTGATTTGGCAAATTTACTCGTTTATTTCAGTCGAGTGTTTCGTCATTTAGCGGCTCGGGTTCTTAATGGGATCGATCTCGCGCGCCGCTTCTGATTAAATTAATTCGATCGAGCCATTCTTTCGGTTCGGACCGATTGACTTTTAACCTGAAAATGCTCACGAAATAGAATGCCGGGGCTAATAGGCGACGCGTGATTTCCCGTACGATTCTGTGCAATCGCATTCAGGATTATTCCGTTCTATGAAATATCGTTCCAATAATCTGGCCGATCGAGCGACTCGTCGAGATTTATCAAATTTCATGCGAACGACAAACACACGTGCGTGCGCCACGGCCTTACGCGCTTACACGGCCGAAAAAAAAATTGATCATTAAGAGTAATACTCGTATCCCTCCCCTCCCCCTCGCGCCCTCCTCGCCGCCACCAATCGCGAAAAAAAAAAATTCTATTCGATCTAAAAGCAATCGCTTTTGCGACAAAGCAGAAAAGTTGATTTCGCAGAAAAGGCAATTTCGTGTACGCGGGACCCGCCCCCCCCTCCCCCTCGCGCCGCTATTTATGCGATAATTTATCGTCATCGGAAACGAGTTATCACGTTTCATTGTTCCGCGATGCATCTGCCTGTAATTGTAATCGTAGTTCGCAATAGCCGCGGAACGTAACGACGCGGCGCGGGTCACGCGTTTCGCGATTTCGCGAGTTCGACTGCCCTGTTGGCGCGCGTTAACGCCGGGGATTAACTCTGCTCTGTATTAACGGTATCGTTTCCCTTTGTTAATTCACCGCCGGCCCGGGAACGCGTCTTTCGGTCCACGATCCAGCGAGCCCAAGCTTTACGCCGTTTTACTCGCGTTCCTCTAATGAGACCTTGGACATCGTCCGCCATTTTCCGGCTGGTGCGCTTTTCAAAAACGTTCGGATCAGTTCAACATTTATGCAGCTTATGAATTGGAATTTAATTCAATGGTTTACTTACATATATATATATTTTTTTAGTAAAACCTTAAACATTTTTGGCTATTTTCAGGCTGAAGCGTTTTTAAAAAATTTTGGGTCAAATTAATTTAATATTTGTGCAGCTTATTAATTGGAATTTAATTCAATGGTTCACATATTATACATATAATTTTTTTAGTAAAACCTTGAACATTTTTGACTATTTTCAGGCTGGAGCGTTTTTCAAAAATTGTGGGTCAAATCATTTTAACATTTATGCAGCTTATTAATTTAAAAAATAATTTTATTCAATAGTTCACACATGAATATTATTATTATTCTAAATCTGGAGTTTTTTTTAAGTAAAATTTTGAACAATGGCTATTTTCTGGCTAAAGCGCTTTTCAAAAATTTGGTTCAAATTAGTTCAACGTGTGTGCAGCTTATTGATTAAAAATGAATTTAAATCAATAGTCTACATATGTACTGTTATTATAAACAAGTCTACCAGAATTCCGTTAGTAACACTTTGGACACCGCCCGCTATTTTCGAGAACGCTCCAATCGGTTTCACATCTACGCAGCTTATCAATCGAAAAATCGAATTTAATTCAAAATGCTTCGCGCACGTAAATCTTATTTTAACAATTAGGTCGGTGAAATAAATGACGGTAAAACATACGAATGGCGAATTTATCAAACGTTATCCGAACGGTGTTTCCAGCTCGAGCAACCCCCGTCTGTCGCCCGTCGTGTCGTCGTCGCGAGGGAAACCCCGCGAACACGGGACGGCCGAGACGCGCGCGTTTTCGATAGCGCTATTTTTTCCCCCGCCCGTGACGCTAATGAGGAAACGGATAATATCAATGGCCATTCTTGAAACGGCCACCGCTGGCCAGCGAGCGGCAGCAACAGCAGCAGCAGCACGACGTTGCAATCAGCGGGCTGAAATACGGAGCGCATAAGTAAAGAACCGGCCGCGAAATTATTCAAGACCGATCGATAGACGGAGAGAGCGCGCGCGGCCGGTTGACGCGCGCAACTGAATTTCAGGGTATCCGCGCGGCGCGGCACGACACGGCACGGCGTGGCGTGGCGTGGCGTGGCGTGGCGTGGCGTGGCGTGGCGGACGTGTTTTTCCGCGGCGGAAAATCCCACGTCCTCACGGGACGATTTCCTCCCCTTACCTTCCCGTTTCCAAATTAGAAACAACGGGCGCTCGAAAAATTTATTTCCCCGTTTCACCCCTCGGGGCCGGTGGCGTTTCCCTCCTTGCGATTTCCACGAGTGAAACGGGCGTCATTCCGTGAAGGGTTGATCTGCCCCTTCCCACCCCCGCTCGAGAGACTGTTACCGTATTCGGCATTTAGAAGCCTCGTCGTGGGCTCTTACGTAACTCCGCGATTGCGTGTACCATCTGTTTCCTACCTTCGCGAGGGTTCACTTGGCGCGGGCTGGAGGGGGTGTCTCCGTGTAGAGCCCGCGGTTTTAAGAAAACGTCTATCGACCGGGGGGAGGAGGAGGAGGAGGAGGAGGAGGAAGAGAGGGGTAGGGCACAGGTGTCCTCGCGAACCGAGTGCGACGAGTGCAAGTTCGAGCTCGCGTATGTATGCGCCTCCCGACCGCGAAAGTTAGTCGCCGCTAACAAGCGGCGGATCAGTCGGCCGGCGGTAGCGCTCTCTCAATATTCAATTGCCTGTGCATATCGCCGAAGAGAGGCGGGGGGGACGGAGAAGAAGAGGGCAATTACTATCGATCACAAGGGGGTAAGAAGTTACGTGTGCGCGTGCATGTGCGGACGCGCGCGCACGGTACTCACTTTAAAAATAGCCTGTAGAGTACGGCGCTGAAGGTCTGTGAAAACCAGCCGCGGTTTCTTGGGGGCGGGCTGTTGGTGTTCTGCCTGGTTCGCCATCTCGTCTTTCCTCTTGCATGCTGAAATTAGAGGAATCCGTGAGAGAGAGGTAGATACAGGGTGACGCGGCTCGAAAAGGGAGAGCGGGAGATAGACAGTGGGAGGGAGAGAGGTAGAAAACGGCGGCGGTTCACGCGCGCGTTCCCGTTTACGTAACGCGACATGCGGCTGGGAATCGAAGCGTACGACATATATTCGGACGCCTCTGACCCGGGGTCTGCGGGGGAGGATGATAATCGCGCGGCGAAACCCCGATAGCGCGGCGTCCTAATTTCAGTCCTTTCGGAAACGGGAGACCGGCGAGCGGAGTAACGTTTCTTTCCCTTCTCAAATTGGACCCTTTGTCGTCGGACGTTGCGGGGACTCGACGGACCGCGAGTTCGAGGGTTCCGACAGCGCGGTACCCGGCAACATTTCGAGAAATGAAATTTTCGGGGGCTCGAGGAATCATCGTTAATAGATTCTAGGATGTCCAAGTGTTCTTCCCGCGACTGTGAAGATCCTGGAGCCCCGAGAGATGAAAAATTGAACGATAATGTAACATTTAACAATTAGACTTTACGCGTTTGTCCCTTTCTCTCTCTCTCGAGAGAGGTACTCGCGACTCTATGAGATCTCACGTTAACCGAAACCACGCGCTATTATCGGGACCACAGGCATGAAATATCTAGACCGAGCGTTTGCCTTTAGTTGAGCAGCGGGGTTAGAGGTTCGCGTAGAACAGGACAAGCTCTGTTTTGTGCTGGAGACCCTGTAATCAGAGACTGGCCGTAAGAGTTCGTCAAATTCCCGCGAGTGAGAGAGAAACACAGGCTATCTCACTCTCCTATGATCGTAGAA